GATGAAAGCAAAAGAATTTTAAACATCCAACCTGATCAACAATAATCCAAGCATCATTGGATAAAGCAAGTTCCAGAAAGTCTTCTTCCTATTGTTATAGCTGTAGGAAAGAACAATCAGAATTCATTTAACTGTTAGGTTAGTAATTGAAACCCAAAAAGACGGGAAACGAACAAGCAAGCAAAAATAAAAATGATTTAAACCCAGGCCTAATGATGCAGTAGCACTGGATTGAAGAAAGAAGATTCAATTCTGCAATCCAGTGCCTAGGGCTATAAGAGCAACATCAGAGAAAATTCTTTAATCAAGAATAAGTGTCCTTAGTAGTTTGTTACGATAATCTATTTATACTATTTTACAGTCAGGTTTTATTTATGCCGGAGCAAAAATACAATTACAACAATTTGATCCTATTTTACGAATTTAAAAATAATATGATAACGCCACAAATAGACCATACATACATTCTAGTTGCAGCAATTGCAGCAGATAAGTTGAACATGGGAACTGAGCTAATTATAAAACGAAGCTCCTGCATCATGATCAATAAGGTCTTTCAATATCTAATCTAGAATAAAAATAAGCCCACCAAACTCTATAAAATATGAGCAATATTACCTTGTGGGGAAGCTTAGAGTAAAGTAAAACAAAGGACAAGGTTGGAAGAACGAATAACAAAACCCTCCTCTCAAGAAAGACCCCAAGCTGCAAGAAGATTGTGTATCAAGTTAGAAAGAATAAGGGGTTTGGAGCCCTGGGAACATAAGTGGTAGTATGCTTGCGAAGTTGAATGTATCCAAAATGATTAATCACAAAATACATTTGCTTCCGTATCCATGTCTATATTATTATCTACCCCAAGTAGAGACATTCGTCATACAATTACTCTTGAGAAAATTACTATGTCAAGTGCAGTTCATACTTATGCCAAGTACTTAAGTATTATCAGCCGTCAACTGTATTAAATTAGAAAATGTTCGAAGCACTGGCCAAAGTAATAGATAGATAATCTAAGCAACAAAGGCTCACAAGTAGCAACCGATTACATTATACATGAAAGAGAAGGTTTAGTTAGAACACCAGACTCACCAGAAAAAGAGGGTATGCAGCAAGCAATGACCGCGGGAGTGCTGAAGTGAAGTACCAGTAAAACGGATGTATCTGAATAAAAAGTAATATGAAGGAAAACTACTAACACATATTTATTAGTTTTACATTCACTCCGCTTTGCCCCCAAAAGACAAGGTGATACTCCCACAGAATCTTTGAATAAGAGTTTCTTCTCTTGTACCAAAACAATTAATGAAAAAAAGGATAATACTCCTATTTTAGCATCCACTGAAGAAGGTATCCACCAAAAGTTAACTGTCCCACTCCTAATATATAGCCTAAAATCCCTAAAACGAAACACTAACAAAAGATTCAAATGCATAAAACCAGGCAGAACACACACTACAAACTTGGTGGCAAAAACACTTGAAGACTCGGAAATAGTCTGCTCAATTGGACTAAAAATATGTCTTACTCTTACAAGATTATAAACATTACAACACACTCCAAATCAAATGCGAAACGGATTTGTTGTAAGGATACACCCCACTCTGAACTTCTATTGAGCACAGAGTTGAACCAGAAAACTTCAAATTCAGGCCACAGTAACCTTTTCCACATAATTGAATCTACTATAACAGTAAGGCCTGAAGTACAAAAAATCCAAACAAGAACATTATTCAGAAATTGTTGTTATTTTTGCAACCAATGTTGTGATCTATGCATCTGAAGAAATTGATAGTAGGGTAGTACCTGTAGTAGTAATACTAATACTAATAAATTCTAATAATAGTAACAATAAGAACAATGATAATGATAATAAAACAACCTACGCACAATACAGCACACAAACTGCAGCATTTCAACGCCTTCCATAATGAAATTCTTCTAGTCTGTAATCAAAAAGAAGGATCAATTACTAATTTATTACACGAAGGTACAAATTAAAATGCAAATTGATTATCCACCTTAACCGGCACAAGTAGAAACTTACCAACAAAAGCTCCAAGCCAAGAGGGCCAAGAAGTAACAAAATATCACATCTAAAGATAACCGTAGCAAAAATCTGAATATAAAAACCAAGATGCAAATTAAAAGAAAATCAGGTAAGTGTATCTTAACTGTGAGGAATAAAGCAAACTTACTTCATAAGCATCATCAGCAAAGTCTACAAAAAAAAGTCCAATTGGACAAAAGGGCCGAGATTATAGTATCCTTAGACATTATGATGCATAATCTGATTATAGCATATAGCGACATACCAGGCAGTTTATGGCTGCATAATACTTCTCCTTTAACCAATACCCATATGCCAAATTGACTACAACAAGAAAATACGAAAAATAAATAAAAGCCTCATGACATATGAATAAGCTGTCAGAGCCAATCAATATTTCAATTAGAATGAAAACTAGCATGCATCTGAGGCCAAGCACAGTAAGGGCTATAAAGGTTATAATCATACCCTAAAAAAACAATACAAGGTCCTACAAATGATATTATATGCATCTCCTGTCCTTCTTCTATGGGGTGCAAATGAAAACCCTAGCCCCTAGGTTGCACAAAGAAGAAAATAAGAACTACTCCTTCCCAACTCTTCTGTTTCCCATTTGTGCCATTTGACCCTTTAGTATTATAATAACAAACAGACAGCACTTAAAAATCAACGAAAAAGAAAGACGCAAAATAATGTTTTCCCCTCCATATCCAGCACGTACCTAACGTGTATATCCTTTGTATTCTCAAGTCAACCTTGTTAAAATGATAAAAAAGATACATATTTGGAGTGTCAAATACCATCTACCCGCATGTGAACTTAATTAATCATGTAGTAGGAAGCAGGAAAAAAAATGTTCAAGACAACAAATCTTTGCAGAGGTTCATTAGATAGCCAGTTCTACATCTGTACAATCTTAAAAATATACATCCACAAGGGAAAAAGAATGCACATGAGAAGAATTACCTACGCCCAGAGCTAGTATATTTGGAAGTGGACGAGTACAATAGAACAAAAGGTGGAACTGAACTGCAGTTAGTATCACAAAGAAAGCTTCCACTTGACGTCCAAACTTAAGTCTAACCTGAAAATGGAAACAAATAAAAGGCTTACTTATATTTCTTTTTCTTTTAAGAAACACAACTTAATGAACTGAACAAAATACAAGGTGTACAGTGCACGAGAAGAAAATAAGTATAAAGCAACAGCATACCTGAAGGCGAAAGAAGCATAATGTAGATAATATGATGCCACCTAATGCCAAACGAACTGGCAAACAGAAACTAAAACAATTTAGGAATTGTTATTATGAAAGGCAAGATATAACAAAAAAAAAATTATAATAAAAAAAGATATAAACAAATGTGGAAGGCATTCCCCATGAATGTCATCCAACTTTTTTCTTTCTCAGAAGAAGTAATAAATTAATAGATGACCCCAGGTGCATGAAAAGTATGTAGGAGGCATGCCTTTCAATTCCCACCAAAATGTACCACTGAATGCACAAAACAACGTGCTTTTCAAATAAATCCTCTGTGAGACTTCTCAGACTAGATGGCTTTCCAAATCGCCATTCCAGCAAGCAAGAAGGTCAGCCACAAATCTCAGCATAACCAGTAACCCCAGATACAAAAATAAATACTAATCTATATGGAGATCCGATAATAAGATGGAAACCATGGAATATTTGCTGCCACTCGTGAAGCAACACTCAGATGAATGTAAACTTACAAGAAATTTAAAGCACTAACCTGCTAAAAGACTATAAACCTTTGGCAAATGCAACAGTTCCATTGCTAAAACAGAAGGAGAAGCCAAACTTGAAACAAACAATGCACCTAGAAGAATGACATACCACACAAATCAGTGAAGTAAACACCTTGGAAGATTTAATAATTCATCAACGAATCAGTACAATTTTCAAAAATCTTAACAATTTATCCATGAGATAACACACTAGAACAACTAAAACTGCATAGAAATATGGGGATTGCCCCCAAAGGCTTTATTTGGCTAATTTACTCATTTAGACTTTAAATCACAAACTTAGTAACATCGACAGCGCATATTTTACAAGCTTACCGAGGAAAGTGCGAGGAACGACTCCAGGGAACTCCAAATGATCATACTACCAGGAGGCAAACATTTATCCAAACAAAGTAGTTAGATAGCCAAAAGGACCAACACATTCCAGAAAACATAACAGCTGACACAAGCTTATGAAGAGATAGATATATAAACTCACATTATCTATGCGATTTCGATAATACAGAATGTCATGCATTGCCTGATAACAAGTAAGAACAAGAAACAACAAACAACAAAATTAGAAGTAAGCAAAAGCACTAAAGAAGCTGAAAACGATACGCCGATAAACAATTCAGTTTTCCCAGATAACAAAATCATCTCCCCCCTCATGTTATCAGTGAGCAGACCAAATTTGAACTTCAAATTTTCATTTAAATCCTGTTCAATTTTTTGTATATACTGAAAATTTTTACATTTCCAACATTTTCCACCATTACAAATTACCACAAATCACTGTAATTCAATAATTTAACTCTCTTATTAGTAAATATTTCCAAGTTTTTCACTTTCATACACTTCAGGCAAATAGAGAGAGAGAGAGAGAGAGAAGTGCCACCTGGACATTGAAGCTTTCTTCAACCTTAGTGTAGGGCGCCATGAACACATAAAACGCAGCTATCGATCCAAGTACCAAATCGTAACCATGGCGCTCAAGAAAATTGGAAGACTTGGAAGCCATTGTTTAGAGAGAGAGAGAGAGAGAGAAACACAGACGCAGACAGGAGATAGAGAGAGAGAGAGTTGAACTGAAGTGTGTGGATCTACTAGTGGGCTGGGCCAGATCGATGTTTTATTGGGCTTGGGCTTTGGTTCAGATAAAAATTTGAAACAAGACACTTGACCAAGTAAAACGTCAGTAGAACGTTGTAACTTGTAACAACCGTAGCCATAGCTGATAAGCCATGGAAGCTGTAACAGTAACCTCACCGCCTCTCTCTCTGCACCACCACTGCTTCCCGCCAAGCACACGCATCGCCGCCGCCAACTCTAATGACTGTAATAAACACCGCCAAACCTTCAAGCGGAAAGCTTTATCATCACGGCGGAAACAAAAGACTCCGACATTCGAAGAACACCACGCGTTTCCGGACTCCTTGCCGCTCCACACGAAGAACCCACATGCCATTTACAAGGACATACAGAGCTTCGCAAGGAGAAATAAGATCGAAAAGGCCCTGAGTATCTTGGACTACTTGGACCAGCAGGGCATCCCGGTTAACGCCACCACATTCTCCGCCCTCATCGCCGCTTGTGTCCGTACAAGGTCGTTGGATCACGGCAAGCAAATCCACACGCATATTCGGATTAACGGGCTCGAAAACAATGACTTTATACGCACAAAGTTGGTAAATATGTACACTAGTTTTGGGTCAGTGGATGATGCACAGAAGCTGTTTGATGAAAGTTCTAGCAAGAACGTGTACTCGTGGAATGCCTTGCTTAGAGGCACTGTCATTGCTGGTGGGAAGCGGTACGGTGATGTTCTTGATACTTATTCGGAAATGCGGGTGTTAGGGGTGGAGTTGAATGTGTATAGTTTCTCTAGTGTGATTAAGAGCTTTGCAGGTGCTTCGGCACTGTCGCAAGGTTTGAAGACGCATGCCCTTTTGGTTAAGAACGGTTTCATTGATAGCGCGATTGTTCGGACGAGTTTGGTTGATTTGTACTTTAAATGTGGCAAGATTAAGCTTGCTCACCGCGTGTTTGAAGAATTTGGTGATAGAGATGTTGTTGTATGGGGAGCCATGATTGCAGGTTTTGCGCATAATAGGAGGCAAGGGGAAGCTTTGGAGTATGTTAGGATGATGGTAGATGAAGGAGTAAGACTGAATTCAGTTATATTGACTAGTATTCTTCCTGTGATTGGGGACGTTGGGGCTCGAAAGCTAGGGCAGGAGCTTCATGCTTTTGTGGTGAAGACGAAAAGCTATTCCAAGCAGATTTTCATTCAGTCTGGCTTGATAGACATGTATTGCAAGTGTGGAGATATGGATATGGGGCGGCGGGTTTTTTATCATTCGAAGGAGAGGAATACAATTTGTTGGACTGCTTTGATGTCAGGTTATGTTGCAAATGGGAGGCCTGAGCAGGCATTGCGATCGATCATTTGGATGCAGCAGGAAGGGTTTAAACCAGATTTGGTCACGATTGCCACCATCCTTCCAGTTTGTGCAGAATTGAAGGATTTGAAACGAGGGAAGGAGATACATGCGTATGCTGTGAAAAATTGTTTCTTGCCCAATGTATCTATAATTTCTTCTTTGATGGTGATGTACTCGAAGTGTGGCATCTTTGAGTACTCGTAAGACTATTCGATGGGATGGAGAACAGAAATATTATCCTTTGGACGGCCATGATTGATTCCTATATTGACAACGGATGCCTCTACGAGGCACTTGGTCTGGTAAGGTCAATGGTCTTATCGAAGCACAGGCCAGATTCCGTTGCAATGGCAAGGATTTTGAACATTTGCAATGGCCTAAAGAATTTGAAGCTTGGGAAGGAAATTCATGGACAAGTTTTGAAGAAGAACTTTGAATCCATTCCTTTGTTACTGCTGAAATTGTGAAAATGTATGGGCAATGTGGAGCCGTTGATCATGCAAAGTCTGTTTTCGATGCAATCCCTGTCAAGGGTTCAATGACTTGGACTGCAATCATAGAGGCTTATGCATACAATGACATGTATCAAGAAGCTATCAATCTGTTCGATCAGATGAGATCTAAAGACTTCACTCCGAACCATTTCACTTTCCAGGTGGTTCTATCTATTTGCGATCGAGCTGGATTTGTTGATGATGCTTGCCGTATCGTCCATTTAATGTCTCGTGTGTACAAAGTTAAGGTGTCTGAGGAACAATATTCTCTAATCATTGGACTTCTTGATCGTTTTGGCCGCATTGAGGAGGCTCGAAGATTTACAACATTGAGTTCGTCTCTGTTGTAATGATGGATGGTTGGACCTTCCTTCTTTCATGTATAAATTTCGTAAGCTCTTGAAACTTTCTTTGTGATTACTAGTTTTCTGCAACTTCACAAATGTATAGAGACCCATTGTATCTTCATGTATGAGTAACATGGTAATTTTCAATTTACTTCAATGTGATTGTTGTTACCAATTTACAGTTTTTTTTTTTACCTCCTTGAATTAAGAACTTCATTAGGAATCTCATCAATTGAATCGAAATAAAATTCGAATCCAAACCCAAATGCAGTTATCGAAAAATACATTCTAAAAAACAATTACAGTATAAAAAAGAATTGTTAACCTAATAGAGAATCACACCAGTTAAGCTCAAAAAGGTGATTAGTGGATCCATCATCAAGGGGATTCAAAAAGACATAAACATGTGATCCATCTTGGACTCCATAATCAACGAGCAAAACTCCGTCTGCATCGTCATTCATGAGACGGCTACAATGACGATCATCGCTGTCAGTGTCAAGAATCAAGATCAGACGGTGGTAAGGGAGCTTCTGCTGCGCTTCAATTTCCCGTTTTAGATCAGCAACCGTCGCCTCCTTTCCGACTTGAACATAGAAGAGAGTTCCTGTCAAATTCTCCACCACCACCTTCATTGTCATGTCGAAATGTCGAAGTTTATTGTTAATTAAGACAAATTAAGCTCACTTTTGGTCTCTTTTTTCTTTTTCTTTTTTCCGGTAACAATTTAAGCTCAGTTTATCTAGGCAATATTCATGCAGAAAGCTTGAGGGAGGAGTTCACGTATGCAGCATTCTCGGCAGTTTGTTACATGCACATGCTGATATGCTGATTTGTTGGCTAGGCAGATTAATTAGGGTTTTCGGGACAAGAAGATGTCAAGGGCTCTCCGACGATCAAGACATTGAGAGAGCTAGAGTTTTCTCCGTGTGGAATATTGTGTTACCTGAAAAAAAGCCATCAGATGTCGAATATGTAGGAGAGTTGATAACGATTTAGGAATGTATTGCAAAAGAGGACATGATCCATTAATATAATTAATCCCTTGATTTGAGGTAAATATAATTTGACAACAATCTATGATATGATCGCATACCTAATATGTGTGTGTGGAGCTGTAAACGAGTCGAGCCGAACCAAATATCATTGTGTTCAAGTTTGCCTTGTTTTTTTTTTTTTTTTTTTTTTTTTTGAGCTCGAGCTAGGTTGGGCTTGCTTCTGATACGAGCCGAGCTTGAGCCAGAATAATTGTGAGATTTCTTCAATTATGACAATTCCTAATTTGAAATTGTGATCGATTTGATTCTAAAATATTAGAACATAAATTGAAAACGTTGTTTTTGATCCGATCTATACAAAATATAATCCCCAAGTGACCCATATGGTCAATAATTTGATTCTAAAATATTAGAAAAGAAATTAAAAACATTATTTTGGATCCGTTCTATCAGAAAATATAATCCCTAAGTGACCCATATGGTCAATAATCTAAATGAGAGTACAAGGGCACTTAAGTGTATCTATTATTACTTATTTTAGGTCCAATTTGTATTTTATGTCAAACTGAGAGGGATTTTCAGGAGTGAGGTCCAAATTTATTATGTTACATAATATTATATTTTCTTAATCAATATACCAAGTATACGTATTTTATGCTGTACACAAAATTAACCTACTATTTTATCAATGTTCTGTTATTTAATATACACATTGTTGTATAATATGACATGCAAAGTAACAAGAGCACTCGCAATATTCACGTTACAAATTTTTATTGTATAGTTTCACATTAAATTATAGTGTTATGGTTGTTGGAATTTATATTTGATGAGGTTGTGACTGTTTATGAACAAAGTTGCGATTATTCAATTAATATAAAGTAAGCATCCTAAAATGGTGAAACATTTAAAATACCATAAATTGTTCTTAAAGAATTTTAAAAATTACAATTGAACCAAAAGGAGTTAAAGTAATTCATCACATTTTAATTTTGAATGAATTTAAAATTTAAAATTATAGACGAAAAAAAAAAAACTCCCACGTTAATAGGTGGTTTCATGTTTTTGCTTAATTTCCTTTTTTGAATAATTTTTTTAATAAAAATATAAATTAGTTATTTAAACAAAAATATAACTATAAAGGCCAATTGCCAGGCCTTTGTTTTGTAATTGAAGAGATACAACTATTGACACTTCCAGACAAAACACAATTTTTATAAAGAGTCACTTAGTCCACCCCATGCCAATTGCTTGGGTAATTGGGCAATCCAATCCCCAAAACTCTAAAGAGTCTCTCCACCCCAACCCAATCAATCATGCTATTAGGGAGCCAACACCGCCGGACTCATCACTTAGGCGGAATGGCCCAAGTCTGTGACTAAGTGGATCTGATGTTAGGCTAACAACAGCCAAATTCTCTCTCTTTTTTTTTTTTTTTTTTTTTTTTTTTTTTTTTTTAACGTCAAGTGCGTGGTTTTTAGGCACAGAGAACGGCATATAAGCCAACCAATAAGGTGTGATGGGGCCCGTGCTATAAGCGCACTCAGCCCAGCCTAATGGGGGGCGATGTGGCACATTATGTGCTTTTGGATTTCCAACAGTTAAAATTTTTTGAATTCAATCGTAACGGTTAGTACATGTGGTGACATCTGGGCCATCAAAGTTTATCATCAACAGTCCATATTTTTTTGAATTAAAAAAGATAAAACAACGAAAAAAATCTTATTGCCATTGGGCCCATGCGGCACAATCTGGGCTCTTGGATGCAAAAAAAATGTAATACAATCGTGCACATTAATTAAGTTAGATAAAAATTATAAAAACCTTCACAAAAATACAAAAAAAAGTTTAAAATATTTCCTATAAATACCCAACAATCCTCTTCCACCCTACACCACATTTAATATAACAAATACTTTCAACCAATCTTTCTCTCAAATTTTCTAAATACTTTGGTACAATGCAACCAATAAGAACAAGTCATTCAACCACTTTGAATGTTGGAATGTTCTCAAAGGTTGCCCCAGGTACAACATTGTGCCAAATGGTCCAACATTTTTCATGAACGACACTCCTCTACACTCTACATCAAAAGAAATCTCGCATGTTTAGGAAGTCGGCCCACTTGAAGTATCAAAACTGACCTATCGTTCACATAAACTTCAAGGTATGAAAGCTGCGAAGAAAAAAAAATAAGGTCTTCCAATAGTGATTATACAAAATATATGGAAGAAATTACTCGCCATGGTGCATTGAGTTTGGGGACATGGCTAAACTTGAGGCTAAGAAGGCTGGAGTCTGGAGATACGGCTAGGGTTGTAGCTAATGAGAGAGAAAGAGAGCTACTTACACAAAAAAAATGGAGATACTTAGGGAGGGCTAAGAAAGATCATCAAATTATCTCCAAGTCTCTTGAAGGAATGTCTTTGGATTCAACTATTTTTGGAGATCAGAATGAGCGGAAGTAATGCGAAGGAGGCGTGAAAGAGAAGAGGGACCAAGCGGAGATGATCCTTGTTGGAAATATTGGCAATGCGGATGCTACTTCTCTTACAACAAATCACATAAAATAAATACTAGTATATAATAATTTTCATTGCCACAATAAATTACATAAAACAAACAAAATAAGATAAAATAATACTTATCTTTTGTAGGTAGAGAACACTCTTAGTCGATCCTTGATTAGAACAATATTTTAGGTTAAGGCGTGTAAATTCATTGTCTTTAAGAGTAGATTTCGTCCCTCTAAGATAATGTCTCGGTTTAACAAGTTATGGCGCCCTACCCTCCAAGATACCACAAAATATGATCCTCGTAAGCGTACGCTCGTAATACTTGAATTAGGTGAACAACTCGATTCTTTCCTTTAGTCTGGAGTGAGTGAAGAATATAATAAAACTTTCAAGAATGATGGATCAAAAGGATAGATAAAAGAAGATGAGATGATTGTCATCTTCATCTTTTCACTAGAGAGATTACCACATGTATAATAGAACTATTCCAAAGAGACGTTAGCCAATAAATGTTAATTAATTCAAAGAGCAATTATTATACTATAAAAGTGTAAGGTTATTATAAATGTTAACACTCAACATTTTGTTGACACACTCTACATAAAATTTAATAATAAATAACTCATATATCTTGATATAAAATAACTATTTAAGCCATAAATAGTACACTCCATAAGTTCTTTTAACAGCACAACCTAATAATAATTCAAGAACATGTTGAGATCAATTTTTCTTGTTTTTAACAGCATAACCTAATGATAATTCAAGAACATGTTGAGATCAAATTTTCTTGTTTTCGAGTTGCAGTCTAAGAGTTTAAACTTGAAAACATTTTCTGCAAATTCCGATATCACTTTTTTAAAGATAATTTTCATAAGCTGGGGGTGTAATCGCGATCGCAAATGCTACAAGGAACACATGAGATTTTTTGTAAGGGAAATAAAAAACTGATTCCATTTGACAGTTAAGAATGTCTGGAAAAAAGGAGTTTCGTTTCTCATTTTTTTCGGTTGAAAGGAGAGACTTCAAGAAGAGAAAAGATAGCTGAAGTTTGAAATCTCAGAGAAAAATAGGATAAAAATGTTTTGTCCTATTTTTAAAAAAATTTTTCGGTTGACTTGACCTCTTAGGGCCTGTTTGGTATCCTACTCAAAAACTTGAATTGTTCTTAAAACTAACTTTTAAGAACATTTCTTAGAAACAGTTTTTTTTAGGTTTCAAAAACGTGTTTGGCATTGAACTTAAAAACTATTTTTGAATCTAAAAATTTGAAAACTTGTTTGGTTTAACTCTTAAAAACAACATTTTTTTTAAAATTATGTATTTGTTTTAAGATATACAAAACATATGAAATTAAACCTTAAACATACTATTTTGATATTCATGTGCTAATACAACACATATATGCTCGGTAATCAAATTAAACTTCAAGTCTTAGACAATAAATATTACATTAAAACATTCTAGAAAACCAATAAACTTTGAGACTAATTGTTATTGACGTAATCAAGCCACATTGATCCGGCTATGTGGTCTCTAACATCATTCATAACATTGTCGTCATTCAAATGCATGTTTTCCCCTTCTGAACTTGAACCATCCAAATCAGATGATGAATCACTTTCTGAACTTGAACCAGTGTTGTCCACTTCATTTGAATCCATCCTATATAGACAAACCAATAATTATATTCACTTATGAATGTACAAAGCTAAAAGCTACATTCACTTATGAATGTACAAAACACATACTCAGTTCTATGTAGTATGTACTATATACTCAGTTTTCACGAATTAGATGATAAATAAAAAGGCATTTTATGCATGCGAATATCAAACAAAATAAAAGTAGTGTGACCTAAGAGTAACTCATTTACCTCTTCCAAAGACACAGGCATGACAATACGACTTCACGCAAGTCCCCAGTTGAAAAGACAAGGTTAAAGGAAATCTCAAAAGAAAGGGGGCATAGTTTTTGTATTGCAAAAGTCATACAAATTTACCAGAAAAATGAAAGATCAAAACTTAAGTAGCATTCAGTTCTAATTAGCTAAATATGTAATTAACAAGAAGAATAAGGGCAACTCTAAACCAGCAAGTCTCCCGCTTTGCGAGGGACATAAACCCCATGAATAACAAAAAAGATTGGAACTTTGCCTTCCTATTCATTGTTCTTCATTCACCAAATTAACCCTTAATTTGTAACAGATTAACAAATTTAAAAACAAGATATTCACAAAGGCTCCTATTGAAATTTGTAGGTAAGTAGATGCTATTTGTACCAGAGAATCCAATGTATCTAATGAATAAAAACAAGATATTCACAAAGGCTCCTATTGAAATTTGTCAAGTTCGGTTAGATGGGAAGTGCTTCGACCACTGCACTCATCCCATCTTTCCAGCCTTTGAACATGATGAATCAAATGGAGAATCAAAGCAAATCAAGGGTTCCAAAAAACGGAAGGGTACATGAGAACACAAGTGAAAATCACTACCCTTGTTGAATTCCAAGGGATAAAATCCAAATTGCACAATTTTCGACACCAAAATGAAAACGAGACTTCTCTTATTAAATCCAAACAGGAACCATCGCTAAAATACACAACGTAATTCAAAGACCAAGTCTATCATTAAAGCATTCACAGAGAAAATATGAAAAATTCATTTTTGAACTCAGACATTTGACATTTTGGCTACTCCAAACACCCATCCAATGAAACAAGTATATCACATAATATTTCACATAATATTACTTGCTACATATATGTAGCAAATGTCAGAAATCCATTCTATGAAACAAACAACCATATGAATTTTCTAACCAACCACATATTTACCATGTCAGCATAAAAAAAGGATCTGAACCCATCAGCTAATTCGTGCCATCTATTGATTCAAGATAGCAAAAATCCAGCCTAAAAAGATGATTTTCAAGCTCTTAGCCATCTAATAAACAAACCCCACTTCCAAAAACTCCTCAAAAGTTGAGTTTGAATGGAAAAACGGATAGCAAATTATGACCATCAGACTAACAAAGAATGGATTTTTTAATACACTTTTCATGTAAATTAATCACAACCAGATGGTGGTTCCCAATCCTTTTCTGAAACTAACTAGGTAAAATGCGATTGATGAACAATCAAAGCATTAAAGCATGGTTTTATTTTTTATTTTTTTATAATATATATATATATATATATATCTATATATCAAAGAACAGAGAAGATGAGGAGGAGGACCTTGTTCGATGATCAGATTCTTGAGCTAATAAGGCTTGTCCAGAACGCTCTTCACCGAGAACGAAAATGACTGAGTCCGATTCGATGTCGTTGTGAACAAAAGCTTGTATTTGTTCTTCCTGGAACCAAAATCGATCAGTTTGGATTGCGATTTGCAATGCCACACTATCTTTGCTCCGCTGCTCGGAATATATATACAATACATAAATGAATCACACCAATTAGACAGATAAACTCAATTTCTCACAACCCAACACATAAAGCACATAAATCCAACTTTCTGATCATTTTCTCCATTCCGAGGAACCAAACAAAATAGTAAGAGAAAGACCCATTACCTTGATTTTTCCTGACAGTGAAGAGAATGGCCCAGTCTCGTCCCCAACCAACCACTTAGAGATTCGAAGCTTAAAGCTATTTGCCGGAACCTTCACCCTACTGGCCGGAATCTCTTGGTCGTTCGTGGTTGGTGAGGTGGAAGGCTTGTTCGTGGTCTGCGCAGCGCATGTCACTCAGACCTCCATTGCGATCTGAATCTGTGAAAAAAAAAAAACACTAAAACCTGACTTTTGTTGTTTTCAAATTATAATGGGCTGTTCTTAAATTTTTTTTGAGTCCAGTTTTGCAAAATGGGCTTACCAAACAGGTTTTTTTACTTTAAAACTTAAAAATTGTTTTTGAGTTAAAAACTTTGAACTCAAATCCAATACCAAACAGGCCCTTAGAGATTCGAAGCTTAAAGCTATTTGCCGGAACCTTCACCCTACTGGCCGGAATCTCTTGGTCGTTCGTGGTTGGTGAGGTGGAAGGCTTGTTCGTGGTCTGCGCGGCGCATGTCACTCAGACCTCCATTGCGATCTGAATCTGTGAAAAAAAAAAAACACTAAAACCTGACTTTTGTTGTTTTCAAATTATAATGGGCTGTTCTTAAATTTTTTTTGAGTCCAGTTTTGCAAAATGGGCTTACCAAACGGGTTTTTTTACTTTAAAACTTAAAAATTGTTTTTGAGTTAAAAACTTTGAACTCAAATCCAATACCAAACAGGCCCTAAGAGGTCAAGTCAGAGGCTAGAGCAAGAACCAAACAAAAACAGCTAAATTATACAGCTAGCAGTACACTAGAAGCTAGGCGCATTTTATTTACTGGAATTCGACAAACAGAAGCAATTCTTTCTAACACTGGATAAATCTCCCAACAAGGAAGCAACAACCTTTATTATTTCCTTGTGGGGCTGTAAGGGTGGTGCAGGAAATTACGCAGGGTGGATTAAGATACTTTTTAATTTAAAAAGTAAATGTTGGGTGTTTTCAGTACATGGGATGTGGTTAACAAAATGTGGGGTGTTAATAAAACAGCCCATGGAAGTATCGGTTTTTGTTTTAGAAAGAAAACTCACATCAGGACATGGTAAGCTGCACAGGACCAATTGGCTAACTAACAATATTAGACTAAGTAGTATAATACCAACGTCCCAATTCTTGAGTAATAATGTCAACGTTATTGGCTAGAATTTTAATTCAATCAATAAATGGATTTGAAGGAAAATAATTGTCACAATGAGCATGATTTGTATTTTGAAATACCCTACAAAATTCCAACAATCCTAGCATCACAGATTGGTTAGGTGATTTATAGGGAATATGTGGTAAATCGGAGGTGCACATAATATTCATTTTGGGTTATAATTTCGTATTTGTTTAATTCGGTACGTTATTTAAATTAAGCTAATCATTATATAAACCATGAGCATCTTTATTCAATTGGAAGTGTTCACAAAACAACATAAAAACACAACACAGTGTTGTTCATTGCCAATGCATACAATCGATATGTCCAATCATATCAGGAAGGCCTTGCATTTTACCGTTCTTCAAAAGCCTTTGCATGTCCATTGTCATGGGTTGCCAGAGGTACTTATTGGTGTAAATAGTCAATTTTTGGAGCAAAATCTCATCAATGACTCATAATTGCTTTCCCCATCTTGTTATCTCATCCAAATCCCCCATATGCAAACATCTGCAAGGTAGCAATCAGTTTTTGCTCAACAATGAGATTTATAACATTAAAAGCATTATTCTTTTGCACAAAGTATGAATCGTAGTTGCAAATAGCAATCATGATTTTATTGAACATATATGGTTGCATTCTAAAATTACGTCTAATATACACAGTAGGACAACACAATTTGGGACAAAGTAATCTTTCAAGAGACCATTACCTTATTTTTCCTCTTTCTATTGAGGTTTGGGAAACGATTGGGTCTGTATATTAGCGCCACAGCTTGCATGACACAACAGGTATGTGCGGTTCTCTCTCTTCTTGCTTCATCATGTCTTATTCTACGTTCTTGATTTTCTTGCTCTTCCATTTGGAACAATTCATTTTCTCACTCCTAGAGCTTGAACAATTCATTCTCTTACTCTTCGATTTCTAACAATCTCCTTCACGAAGACATTATCAGAACTCAAGATTTAGACACTATGAAGAAGGATTCAGAGAGATTTTGAATTTGGTGTGTGAGTTTTAGGTTGGATGTGGACTTTATATTGAGAAAAAGGAAAGGATGTGATTGTAGATTATGCTACTTGGCAGTCTATGATTGGTTGAAAATCTTATAAAAAAATCTATCGATAAGAATTTTGAACAAATATTGACATGTGGCGCGACCAGCTTTGATGAAAAAAAACATCTCCCATGTGCGTGACAAGAAATTAGTGATCAAAGAAAATTCACGAAATTTTTTGGGATGAAAAAAGTTGTGAAATCTTTTTCATTCTTTTTTTAAAAAGGTTGCCATATGTAAGAATAATACTTGACTACTGAAAACTTAGCAGGAAATTGTGCACATAAGTGACGTGGCGGGCTTAGAGGACTACGTCTGGTTTTCTTTTTGGCTCAAAAACCTTTTACTTTGGATAATGCTAGAGAGGCTAAATGTGTAGACTAAATTTTGTAAACTAAATGACATGGAAATTAATGATTGAATTATCACTTAAGCTTTGGTTAACATGCTTATTTTTGTTGGTAACACGTCATTTAGTTTGTAATTTTAATATTCAAATTTAATCTACCTATCATAACTTTTAACTTTTATTCTCTCCACTTTGATAACGTTAATCATCCTATTTATTGCCGGTATGTTACGCAGACTAAATTTGTACACAATTTTATGCAAACTAAATAACATAAAAATTAATGATTAAATTATTACTTAAAAGTTAACAAACATGTTCATTTCTATGATTTAATTTACAAATTTTATTTACAAGTTTCGCCTATAATCGTTTCTAACCGCTAAACAGATGTCTTTGTAATGTAAATGCGGAACTGATTAAGGGTATTCTGGTCACTGAAGCCTCTCTCTTCCCTCCACCGCTCTTTGTTCAAAAGCGCGCTCTCTCTCTCCCTGTCTCTTTCTCTCTCTACTGAGTTTGAGAAGGACGATGAATTACGAGCAGAGGCTCAAAGCCGCGGCGAAGATCATACTCACTGATGGCGCACGCGCCGGAGACGCGCGTGTCGACTCTGAAGAGCTCGGCGTCAAGGCTAAACTGAAGCCTCACCAGGTCGAAGGCGTGTCGTGGCTCATACGCCGATACAATCTCGGCGTCAACGTCATTCTCGGTAAGGGGCTTCCTAATGATATTTTTCAATGTGTTTGGTTGCCGAGAAAATCTACGAAATAAAGTTTAAATCTTTGATGAATTGTTTGGTTGAATTTTCAGGAGACGAGGTACAACTGCTGTCACTCTTTTGAAGTCTTCTTACATGTGGTGAATTTGTGATTTTGAAATTTCCTTGAATTCGGTCATTTGAGTTTGAAATTTGGTTATTAATTTTCGAAAAATTGAAGTAATTTTCGATAGTGTACATTATGTTCTTATGAATTTAAATACTGTAATTTTATTGCATAATTAAATTCTTGAGTTTCATTGCATAATTTGGTGTTCCTTAGTGTCTCAGGTTGGAAATGAGCAAAAAAAATTAGTTTCATAGTCTGTACTGTTATCGAACCCCTTGTACTTTTGATTTCTGTCACCAGTATATGATTTGTTGGTATTGGCCGAGGGTTTCAACTTTTAACAGTAGAGTCAATATCGTAACTCGAATTCAGTGGAAGGTGTCAATTTAGCTTAGTTGGTAATGTTCGTATTGTATCCAAGGACAGGACTGAATCGCACCTTCAGTGGGGTTTAGGAAGTATGAGATGTACATATCCTTGCTTGCCAATAGGTTATAGGTCCAAAAGAAAAACAAAAGGAAAAAAAAAAAAAGAATTTAATGAAGATGTTCATATTTATTGTTGAGGATACAACTAGTTGCACATGTTGAGGAGAAGTAACTGGAAACAGAAATATTTTTGGCTGTGTTCATTGTACTTGAAGTCTTGAACCCAAGAGAATGATTGTCAGATGGGACTGGGAAAGACGTTACAAGCTGTTTCATTACTGAGCTATTTGAAGGTTCAGAAGATGTCACGTGGACCATTTTGTGAGTTTCATTTTTGTGCTTTTGGTGTGAATTCCTTGAAGTTCATATTTTCTGTACTGGTGTGTGCTTGATACATTTCTTGTTTCCTTCCATCGGTCATTACACACAGTGGTATTGTGTCCTTTGAGTGTGACGGACGGTTGGATCACAGAGATGGACACATTTGCTCCAAAACTAAAGGCTCTTAGGTATATTGGTGATAAAGAAAATCGGCGCATTCTACGCAGGACAATCTACAAGCACATAAATGAACAGACCTCCTCATCTGATGTAAGTTTCATTCCTGCTATTTACCTTTTGGAAGGAATAAACTATAGATGTCAATCACTATGTTTGGTTGAATTTATAGCTAATTACTATTATTAGCTCTCTAATAAGCTATTTTTTGTCTTGGATTGATGTTTTCAAGTTGGACCAATGGACAGGAATTGTCGTTGCCTTTTGATGTCCTGTTGACAACATATGACATAGCCTTGGCAGATCAGGATTTTCTTTCTCAGATGCCCTGGAGCTATGCAGTAATAGATGAAGCGCAAAGGCTCAAAAACCCTTCCAGTGTATGTTCAAGATGTCACAGATTTTCTCTTATGAATTAAGGAACCCTATACTAGTAGCAACATTTTTCTTATTATGATTGATTAATACTGATACTATACTATGTAGTCCAGTAGTGTGAATCAGGAAAATAATTAACCAGGTACAGCTATTAATTATATGACAGTTTGAACCACTGGCTTTCAGAAACAAAAATAACAGCATACTGCTGATCAGTTTGGTATGCTTTTTTAATTGTAAACCTCTTCCCATGGCAATTGATGTTGGAAATTTTTAACTTTGATTCCAATACTCTGTGACTTCTAGTATGAAGACCATGAAAGTTTGTGCTAGGCAGGCATAATAAGAAAATTTGAGCACACGAAGAAAGGGATGGAAGTTATAATACAATTTTTTTCCCCTGATAATAACTGTCATTACAAACATATATATGTTTCGACGTTAATAGGTTTTGCACAATGTCCTAAGAGAGCGCTATCTCATACCAAGACGGTTACTGATGACTGGCACACCTATCCAAAACAATCTCACTGAACTTTGGGCTTTGATGCATTTTTGTATGCCTTCAGTCTTTGGGAAGCTAGACGAGTTCCTTGCAACATTCAAGGAAGCTGGAGATCCCTCATCAGGTAATGTTCTTACTTGTCATAAGTAAGTTGGGTGGCCTATAATGTGATGTATAATGATTTGTGAACATTTCTTACTTAAAATTCCGCTGCAGGTAAGATCTTGTATCCTCTCTGTGTGGAGATGAGTTCTTGGTCTTATGACCCAACTATTCTGTTGGCAATTATTGAGGAGAATGAACTTTGGGATGTCAAAACATGGTTTTATATACATGGCACTTGTTATTCCTGAACAGGCCATGATACAACCAAAGTCAAGGAACAACTCAAAACCTTAAGAAGTATCTTGGGAGCTTTCATGCTCCGCCGTACAAAATCTAAACTTATTGAGTCTGGAGATTTATCCCTGCCACCGCTTACTGAGATAACAGTGTAAGTTCTTCATCTCTTTCTTCATTGTAGACATACTCTTAGAACATAATGAATATGATGCAAAGATGCATTATCTTGATAGGCTGGCACCATTGGTCAGCTTGCAAAAGAAGGTGTATATGTCAATATTGAGAAAGGAGCTTCCTAAGCTACTTGCACTCTCTTCCGGAGGTTCAAATCATCAGTCCTTACAGAATATTGTAAGTTAGCTTTTCTATTTTTCACCTAAGCGTTTGTTTTCTCCCTTGAATCTTTTCTTATAAATGATACATTGGCATTAAACTCCTTTATCCTATACCATCTACAAAATTACAAATGCAGGGAGGTTATTATATTTCTACGTGATTTTTGTTTTTACCAGGTCCTATTGGCTGGTAGCTGTAAAATAATATTTGGTAAATGCAATTCAAAAGCTGTGTACATAGTCAAATCATTTTTCCAACTGCTCAGTATAATTTATTGAAATTATTAAAATGAATTTAATGATTGTCATTTTTTATTTTGAGCCCAAAGTGCTACATTTTTATAACTGTAACTTTAAAACGACCCGCTAGTTTGCTTCCCAGCTACTGCTTCTCCACAACTTTGAAGAAGTAGAAGAAAAATCAGAAATGTACCAAATGCATGTGTTACTTTTCCTATAACTACAAGGAAGAAGTCGTATAAAAAAGCAGGACCTAAAATAGTGATACCAAAATGGTGCTAACTCCTGATGCAGTATTGTTAGTTCCTTATTCTTGTTTAATCTGGCTTCTTGCTTCAAGTATTTGTGTGCTTATTCAGTACTTCATTGCTTATTGTTATATGCAGTGATCAGCCCTTTTGATTTTACTTCTGCCACTGGCAATATAGGTAATACAGCTTCGAAAAGCATGTAGCCATCCATATCTCTTCCCTGGTATTGAGCCTGAACCATATGAAGAGGGCGAACACCTGGTTCAGGTATTTATATCAACACTTGGTAAATGATAATGACCTACGAGAGTGTAGCCAAGTCATGTAATTTCCAAATTCTTAACTTCTATAGAAGCATTTCTGATTAACATACGATAGTGGAGCTCTAGTTGGTTTGGTTCATTAAGCTAAAATGCCTGATCCCTGAATCTCGATTTAAGTACTTTTAGTATGTATTCTGCTCTCTTGTAATATTTATTTCCTACCAACCATTCTCTGTTTATTTTATATTTTTTGATCAGGCTAGTGGTAAGCTTATAATCTTGGATCGACTACTTCAAAAGCTACATGAGTATGGACACCGTGTGCTTCTCTTTGCACAGATGACGCATACCCTTGATATTCTGCAGGTTTGTTTTTTATGTCCTTCTCCTGTTTCATGCAAAATGATAAATGCTTCAGCTTGTTTGCATGCATTTAACAATTTATATTCTCTTATGTACTGTAGGATTTTCTGGAGTTACGAAAGTATTCCTACGAGCGGCTTGATGGATCAATTCGCGCTGAGGAGCGCTTTGCTGCCATAAGAAGTTTCAGCACACAATCAACAAAAAAAAGTTTGAAGTCTCAAGCTGATCAAAATGGTGCTTTTGTCTTCATGATCTCTACAAGAGCTGGGGGAGTTGGCTTGAACCTTGTGGCTGCTGATACTGTGAGTTTTTGCAAACAGTAGTGTACCTTGTTACTAACAAGAATCTTGGGTCTGACAAGTGATAATCTTATGTCCAGCATATTACTTTAAGATTGGGTAACTTGCTATCAGAGAGAATGACATTAATAGAATAATTTTGAGAGGTTTATGATATATTGCTGTTGAGGAACCTAAAGTAGGCTATGTTGTAAAATTTCAAGTAACATAAATTCTTCCCTGAAGTTGCTTTTAATCACATCATATTTGTATTCTATTCATTTTACATTAGCCATTTCTTTCTTTCCTGACGTTCTTTTGCTCAATTTGCATACGGTAGGTTATATTCTATGAGCGAGATTGGAATCCCCAGGTTGACAAGCAAGCTCTGCAGCGGGCACACAGGATTGGTCAGATGAATAATGTACTGTCAATAAACCTAGTTACAGGACGTACGGTGGAGGAGGTGAGACACAATACATCAGTTGTTGCCTCTAAAGCCTTTGAGGCCATTACATAAATATTTCAAATGTGTCAATATAGGTTATCATGCGGAGAGCAGAGAGGAAATTGCAGCTAAGCCATAATGTTGTTGGGGACAATGTTATGGACCAGGATGGTAAAGAAACAAGTGGAGTTGAACCTAGTGACTTACGATCCATCATCTTTGGGTTACATCTCTTCGATCCTGATGAGGTCAACAATGGTGTGCTTGAGATGTCAGAACTGAATACTATGGCTGAGAAGGTAATTTCAGTGCGGAATAAACAAGTAACTACCAAGGATGAGAGGAAATTTGAGCTTAATCCAGCAGATGTTTTGAATGGAAATGATCTTGTTGTAGGAGAAGGTTCCACTTCTCTTAGTTTCAATTCGGGCTTTGATGAATCTTCATATCTCTCTTGGGTTGAAAAATTCAAGAACGTGTCACAAGAAAATATGGATATGGGAAGCAGAAGAAATCTACTCGAGGAAAAACGTCTAAAACTTGAGACTGCAAAGAAGAAAGCAGACGAGAAGAAGTTGTCAAAGTGGGAAGAGCTTGGATACCATTCACTGTCTGTTGAAGACCCTATCAGCCCTGTGGATAGTGATATGATGTCTGATTCAGGTTCTGTCCAATTTGTTTATGGGGATTGTACACAACCATCAAAAGTTTGCCCCTCTGAGCCTACCATTGTTTTCAGGTAAATTTAATATCACTAAATTCCTCCTCCTGAGTGTTCTCATTATATTGCATTGGATGAGTTAGAACGGTGAATATGTGTTTTCTTGTGGTTCTGATATTTTGCTCTTCAAACAGTTTTCTTTTGTTTGTAAGGCTTCTTAATGCTTGAATAATTTTTCATTCTTTCTTTCCTTGAATCCAACATCGGTTATTTTATAATCCCAAGTGTAATCTCAAGTGTGGCTGGATTGAGCCAAACAAGTGGATGAATCGCCTGCTCTAACATCATGTTAATCCCAAACCAATTGGACGCGTCTGTGGGCACAAGATCTTATATATTGTGATGCAAGACTTTGAATTGTTGTGGGATTTTATATTCTAAATATTAATAGTTGTTACCAAGTTTATTTTATTAACTGTCTTGAGATAATAACCAGGGCCACCACAGAATTGATGAATCTTTGAATACAAAATAAAGATTATTACTCAAGTGAATTATTCGTCAGTGGACTTTTTCTGCTGATGAACTCATTCTGCAGCATGATTCCTTATTATGTCCAGAGATTATGAGAGTTTGCTACCATATGATTTAAGGTTCTATTTAATTATTTTCCTTTGGTATTATAAATGTGCTCAAACTACTTCAGTTTCAAAAACTCTCTGTCTCGGTAGGTGGTTGGGGATTTACTGCCAGACCTTATTTCTATGTTTATTTCACAGCTGTGTTGATGATTCTGGACACTGGGGTCGTGGAGGAATGTTTGATGCACTGTCCAAGCTATCTGCAAGTATCCCTGATGCGTATCAACGAGCTTCCGAATTTGGTGACCTGCATCTGGGTGATCTTCACCTTATAAGAGTTTATGGTTAGCCTCTGGTCTCTATGTTATCTAAATTCATCTCGTCGCTTATTATACAAGGGAATCTATTCTGCACAGAAGTACAAGTACTCGAGAAACATGATTATATCATTTGCAACACAATAATTTGTTGAGAAAACTTTAAGTAGCTCTTGGCTGCACAACGCACTATGCAAGAATTTGTATATCATTTCAGCTTGAAGTATATTTTACAATTTGTAGTTAACTTTCTTCCTTACGGATTCAGATGAGCCTGGGATGGACTCGAATCCTTCTCAATGGGTGGCTTTGGCTGTTGTGCAATCTTATAATCCTAGGCGTAAAGTACCCCGCAGCAAGATTTCTATCCCTGACTTGGAAAGTTGCTTATCGAAAGCATCGTTTTCAGCTGCTCAAAGTTCTGGTAAATATTTGCAATCCAAAAGTGCAGTTTTTTATGTGTTAATGTTTGTTAATTTGGATTCTGACAAGTTAAACCTCTCATATCATACTCTTCTGCTTGATTTTAAAGCTTCAATCCACATGCCACGTATTGGGTATCAAGATGCATCAGATCGTGCAGAATGGTACTCCGTCGAACGCCTTCTACGAAAATATGCTTCTATTTATGGCATAAAGATATACGTGTATGTTTTCTTTCGCTTCTTTCCTTCATCCTCTCCCAACATACATACATACCGACTTTCGCAGCAAACTAATTTCTTGAAATCTTTGCAGGTATTATTTTAAGCGGTCTGCTTGACGTTTTTGACTGATCCTGCGCAAGACGAGGTCCTCGTATTCCACAGATGTAGCTAATAGACTTACGTTAGCAAAATGAACCCGTGCCGCCTTTCTTGTCATGTAAATGTGTTCACCTCCAGAGTAAATATGTTGACCTTTTCCCCTGTTTGATAATGTTCTAGTGTAGGAACTGGGAACATGAAAACATGAAGTGTTGTTGTGTAAAACCCTCAAATGTATGAGTGGTACCAAATATCTTCGGTTAAAAGATTTGAATCTTCCGGTTATTGAATGGCTTTTGAAGAGTTTGAAAAGTTTAAACTCGATATGCTGTGAGTTGAAAATGAAGACTCTAACCACTAAGACAATCTGCTATTCACTTTTTTTTTTCTTTAAGAGAAACGGAAGTTTTTTTTAACTATGCAAAGTTGGAATTAAATTATAAAAATGTACTAAAGTTTTAACCGAGAAATGTAAAGCCTAATTATCATTCATCATCCAATTGAAAGTCAACAAACTGTCAGAGTCATCCAGTGTTATACATAACTTATATAATATGACATGGGACTAATAATATGTGGACAATTGACTTCAGGCGAAAATTCGGATTGAGTTTGGGATGAAATGGACGGACAATGCATCAATCCAATCCAATTAATACTCGAATTGAGATCAGGTTGGGTTTGGCCTTGAAGAACACCAGATTACTACCCTGTAGCCAGATTTAAAGCTTGGTGCCTGTGCATGTAATGCCTTAAAAAAAACAAATATTAAGGCTCTCAAGCGTTTGGTGGACCTCTCAATACGACGTCTTAACACCATGAACTAATGACCTGTATGCTGAACAGCATGAAGGTTGCTGATGTACAAATTCAGGTCGTTCTTGGGGAGTTGCCGGAAAACTTGTTCGCAGCGAAATTTGTGTCTTGGCATGGTACACGAGTTAAACTGCGTATCAAGGCCATCATTCGGAGTTGCTCAACTATTCTGGTAATGATTCCTGGAACTAGTGCTGAAGTTTTTACAATCTTCGACAGTATTTTGCTTATAGTAATGTCTATGTCCTCGTCCATCTTTTTGAAACTTACAAAACCAGGCTTAATCATTTAAAACTGAATGGAGTTTTATCTTGTTTGAGCCCCCAAGGCTGAAGTATCACAACTAACAAGGTCTGCAACTCACTGATTTTAGAGCCTGCTTATTTCTTGAAAGATTTAAATCTCAAAAATATTCATTTGCAAGAATTCAACTTCGTCTAAGTTTCCCGTGGCTAGCAAATGACATTTTAGTATCTCAATCCTACTTCCTACATCATTTGTGCTCCCCTACCGACTCAAATCCTTTCCTCTTAAACTTTCACCTTCAAAAACCCAGAGAGAACCTATGCACCTGATTCGAGACCTTTCTTTTAAACAGTTGCCTTCTTTCTTTTCCAGGAAACTTTGTCTGAGAATCAAACAAAACTCAACCACTGAAGGAAACTTTCCTGTTCCTTGACACCAGGGCAATAAGGCTCTCTCAACAATAATCTATCTTAGACAAACGATTTCCCAAACATTTTTCGTTTAGCCATTCTTTACTTTCTTTTTCATATTGCCTGTGGTCGGCAGGGTATGTATAAGCAACGGTAACTTGACATGAAAAATCTGACTTTCCTTCGTTTTCATTGTGTTTAGGTTGCACATCTTTGTTGCTGCTAACCGGTGGAGTTTTAAGGTCATCTCGATCACATTCACATCTCAATCTTGTAAATACACGGTTGTTGCTACCCTCCTCATCCTAAAACATCTTCCCAACATTCTGCTAACCGCTATCTCAATTTCATTGTTACCCCTCGTCTCAACCATTGGATCATATACAGTCCTTCCACACTCCAAATCCAGCTAAACCAAACTTGTACCCAGTTAAAACCACACCTGCTCGAAACTAAAAACCCACGAAGCACGAACAACGTAAAGTCAACTACCATCGAGTGGGAAGTGCAGCACAGCACAAAATGGATACGGCCACGAAATTGTGGAGTGAAATCACAGAGATTGAGAAGTGAAGCATGCCCGTGCTTTACTAACCAGAAGGCAGGCTATAAGATCCATATTCTTGGTGTTACATTAGTTTGTAAATCTCTTATATCCACCACCTTATGTTGTCACGAGAAATTTGAATTCTTATATTTGTTACATATAGTTAAGAGATTTTTTAGATTTGAATTCCCTTGTTTTGAAAAATTCTTGGGTGCGAATGACCAGTCCACGTGGCTGTCCGATCGCATACACAATACACAAGACACCCCACCTCCTTCAGCTAGCCAAAGCCTGGATGGCCTAAAAAAAAAAAAAAAAAGAGGCAAAAGGCTCTAAAAGAAAAGGCTTGAATAATGTGAAAGGGCGGTAGTTGAACTGTTGAAGAAACAAAAGGTGTCATCAGGTGCAAAGAGTGTGACTGGAATCTAATATGCTCCTCAAGTGTAAAAGATTTCAATCCCAATTCATTTTTCTAATATTCAAATTCAGAGCTGTGTTCGGAATGAGATGATTTAGAAATGAACAATACTACTCTAATTTACGGGTAAGAGAATTTGAACTCAGGCACTCTTCTTTGATTCTACGAAACCCTAAACCCTAACCCTCTTTTTTTAACTACTCATGCTTTTGAAGAAGGTAACTATTTTGTTTTCAACTTTTTTACTGTGTGGTTTTACCAAACCAAACGAAAGGGAAAGATTGTTTTAGTTCCCTCCTGAAAGAGTCACCCTCCTAACTCCTCCCCAACAAAAAAGAAACCCATAAAATCACCAAACCACAATAAATTAGACATCTCTTTCTTTTCATGCTACTCTCCCTCTGAAACCAACTCCTCTCCAACACCACCCGAATCTCCCCCTTATATACACATTCCCTTTGCTTTTCTCCAAACTCAGATACCTTCCTTTGCTCAGTCTCCTCCTCATAGTCTCCTAAAGATGTCGAAGGTTGAGAGAAACGGCACTAATGGTTCTTCCGGGCAATATCGTTCCCCATGTAGGTATGCTCCTACCCCGGGGAAGGCAACCGTCCTTGCATTGGGCAAGGCCTTCCCGAGCCAGCTCATCCCTCAAGATTGCTTGGTCGAGGGCTACATTCGCGATACAAAATGTGAAGACGCCACCATCAAGGAGAAACTGGAGCGCCTGTGTAAGCAAAATTACTTACACTATGTCTTGTGTTAAGTTTCTTAGAATGGTTTCTTTACTTGCTTGTTTCTAAACTACGTTTTTGACTAAATTGTATAATTATTTGGGGAATTGTTATTAGCACTCCAAAAATCTCATTTAGCACTCCAAACTTTTTATAATTAAAAAGAAAAATACACTTGTAAAGAGTGTAGAATAAGATTTTTGAAGTGCTAATAACAATTTCCATTATTTGTACCATATCTGTCGATCTCCTTGATGTGGTACACCTAATACGTACTTAGACGCGTTATGTGATTATTTATGTCTATGTTTTTTATAGGCAAAACCACCACTGTGAAGACTAGGTACACAGTGATGTCCAAGGAGATCCTAGACAAATACCCTGAGCTAGCAACAGAGGGCACAGCCACCATCAAACAGCGGCTTGAAATTGCAAACCCTGCGGTGGTGGAGATGGCGTTGGAAGCCAGCCTTGCTTGCATCAAGGAATGGGGAAGGCCAGTAGAAGACATCACTCACATTGTCTACGTCTCCTCAAGTGAAATCAGACTCCCAGGCGGCGACCTCTACCTCTCAAGCAAGCTAGGCCTAAGGAACGATGTTGGCCGCGTCATGCTCTACTTCCTAGGCTGCTACGGTGGTGTCAGCGGCCTCCGCGTTGCCAAAGACATAGCTGAAAACAACCCTGGAAGCCGCGTCTTGCTAACCACTTCCGAGACCACAATCCTTGGCTTCAGGCCCCCCAACAAGGCGCGCCCTTACGACCTTGTAGGGGCAGCGCTATTCGGCGATGGAGCTGCAGCTGTGATCATTGGAAGCAACCCAATAGCAGGACAAGAGTCTCCTTTCATGGAGCTCAACTACGCCGTCCAGCAGTTCCTCCCTGGGACTCACAATGTGATCGACGGCAGGCTGTCGGAGGAAGGCATTAACTTCAAGCTTGGAAGGGACCTGCCCCAGAAAATTGACGAGAACATAGAGGAGTTTTGCAGGAAGCTGACCGTGCCGGCGAAAGCAGAGCTGAAGAACTTCAACGAGCTGTTTTGGGCCGTGCACCCAGGCGGACCGGCGATTCTGAACAAGATGGAGAGCACGCTGAAGCTGAGTAGTGATAAGCTGGAGTGCAGCAGAAGGGCACTGATGGACTATGGGAACGTGAGCAGCAACACCATTTTTTATGTGATGGAAAATATGAGGGAAGAGTTGAAGTTGAAGAAGAAGGAGGGGAGGGATGAGGAATGGGGACTTGCCTTAGCATTTGGACCTGGGATTACTTTTGAAGGCATTCTCCTTCGCAGCCTCTAGTGGTGTGAATTGTCTCAATAAGCTACGAGGGTTGTGCATGTTGCACGCACACCGATGCGATACATTTTTAGAATTTCATTAATGAAATTATGAATTGGTGTTGTTTCAATTTAAGTTAATTTGGTCATTTTAATGAAATGGAGTTGTTCGATTTTTGATTCATTGCGTATCAGGTTATTATTGAAGACATTAAATAGTTGGTCTTTTCTTTTGAATCTATTTCTTGGAATCATATTTTTAGGGAAGAAACTAATTTTGTAACTGATGTCATCACTTCATGTGTGCATTATTTAGAGAATTTCATGTTTGAATTGGTTGTGCGCCTCTGGCTGCTTCTAATACCTTGTTATTTAACTTTAGAAGCCTTTAAGTGTTCCCGAGATTTTTCCCTCTCGTAATGTTATTTTGTTTCCTACCAAAAAAAAAAAAAACACGTTAGCACGATTCAAAATTCAGCACGAATATACCATCTGACATTTTGCACACAAGTACTATGGTAGGAAAATCTGATAGCTTTTGGGGTATTTTCGTCAATTAGCAGTGTTGTATTTTGGTGGCTTTCGAGCGGTGCCGCGGAAACAACGACAACCTCACACCAAACGACGTAGTTTTCTTATTCTTTTCTGTTCTTTCCTTATTGCTTTGCCGTTAAGCAATTCTCCCTCTTTCTTTCTCTCTTTCCTGCAGAAGAAAAATCTGATAATTTCAAATTTCCAAAAACCCTAATTCCACTTCAATTCAATTCCGATTTTTTTCCATTCGTCCAATATTTATCTGATTCTGAATTAATCGCAGTAGTAATCCAGGTAA